AAGGAGGTAAAGACCTGTACTCAGAAAACTATAAGACACTGATGAAAGAAATCAAAGATGGCACAAACAGATGGAGAGATATACCATGTTCTTGGATTGGAAGAACCAATATTGTGAAAATGACTATACTACCCAAAGCAATCTACAGTTTCAATGCAATCCCTATCAAATTACCAATGGCATTTTTCACAGAACTAGAACAAAAAATTTTACAATTTGTATGGAGATACAAAAGACTCCGAATAGCCAAAGCAATCTTGAGAAAGAAAAATGGAGCTAGAGGAATCAGACTCCCTGACTTCAGACTATACTACAAAGCTACAGTAATCAAGACAATATGGTACTGGCAAACAAACAGAAATATAATCAATGGAAATGGATAGAAAGCCCAGAGATAAACCCATGAATCTATGGTCAACTCATCTATGACAAATGAGGCAAGGATATGTAATGGAGAAAAGACAGTCTCTTCAATAAGTGGTGCTGGGAACACTGGACAGCTATATGTAAAAGAATGAAATTAGAACACCCCCTAACACCATACACAAAAATAAACTCAAAATGGATGAAAGACCTAAATGTAAGACTGGACACTAAAAAACTCTTAGAGGAAAACATAGGAAGAACACTCTATGACATAAATCACAGCAAGATCTTTTTTGACCCACCTCCTAGAGTAATGGAATAGAGTAATGGAAATAAAAACAGAAATAAACAAATGGGACCTAATGCAGCTTAAAAGCTTTTTCACAGTAAAGGAAACTATAAACAAGATGAAAAGACAACCCTCAGAATGGGAGAAAATAATTGAAAACAAATGAACAGACAAAGGATCTCCAAAATATACAAATAGCTCATGCAGCTCAATATCAAAAAAACAAACAACTCAATCCAAAAATGGGTGGAAGACCTAAACAGACATTTCTGCAAAGAAGATATACAGATGGCCAAGAGGCAAATGAAAAGCTGCTCAACACTAATAGAGAAATGCAAACCAAAACTTCAATGAGGTATCACCTCACACCAGTTAGAGTGGACATCATCAGAAAATCTACAAACAACAAATGCTGGAGAGGGTGTGGAGAAAAGGGAACCCTCTTGCAGTGCTGGGAATGTAAACTGATACAGCCACTATGGAGAACAGTATAGGGGTTCCTTCAAAAACTACAAATAGAATTACTGTTTGATCCAGAAATCCTGGGCACATATCCAGACACAACTATAATTCAAAAAGACACATGCAACCCTATAGCCAAGACATGGAAACAACCTAAACGTCCATCAACAGATAAATGGATAAAGAAGATGTGGTATAGATATACAATGGAATACTACTCAGCCATAAAAAAGAATGAAATAATGCCATTTGCAGCAACATGGACACAACCAGAGATTATCATAGTAAGTGAAGTAAGTCAGAAAGCAAAAGACAAATACCATTATGTTATCACTTAAATGTAGTATCTAATACAAATGAACCTATCTACAAAACAGAAACAGAATCAAGGACATAGAGAACAGACTTGTGGTTGCCAAGGGGAAGGGGGTGGGGGAGGGGTGGACTGGGAGTTTGAGGTTAGCAGATGCAAACTATTATATATAGGATGGATAAACAACAAGGTCCTACTGCATAGCACAGGGAACTATATTCAACATCCTATGATAAACCATAAAGGAAAAAATATTAAAAAAAGAATGTGTGTATATGTATAACTGAATCACTTTGCTGTAGAGCAGAAATTAATACGACATTGTAAATCAGCTATACTTCAATGAAAAAATAAATTAAAATAAAATCTATGCCCCGCAAAGGCACTAGGCCCAGACTGTTACATGGGTGAATCTGTCTCAATAAAACGAATAATCTCTATTGTATTCCTAGATATTAAAAAGGAAAAGGCCCCTAACTCATTCTGCGAGGTGAGCACAAACACATACACACCAAATGCTACAAGCTGGCTTCTATGGGCCAAATCTTTCTTGCCAATTATGTTTAGATAGCATTTTTTAATGCTGAATATAAATGTTATGAGACCCAACATCCATTCTCCTATTACCACAGTCCCCTATTCTCTCTTTGTGAACCTCATCTACTCCACTTGACTCAACTTTTTAAAACAAATTTGGCTCCTCTAGGCATTTGAGTTTACAATTCTTACCACATACCAATTTCACTTGTGAATACGTAATTTTAAATTCTACCAAAATCTTAGCAAATCAAATCTAGCAGAGCAAAAGAACAAGGCATTATAACTAAACAGAGCTTAGATTACAACTAGCTTATCATTAGAAAATTAATTCACAGTAGACAGTATACTAATATATTAAAGAACCAAAAAATGGGGGAAAAAAGAAGTGGTATATCAATGAATCATTTAATACAGAGATTCTCAGGCTTTGGGGATCCATGGATGGGCTCCAAAGAGTCCATGACAACTTGCAATTCTAAGCACAATATTGGTGTATGGGTGGCAGCTTCACAGACACATTAATTCTCAAAGAAGTCCACAATTCATGAGTCCTTTCATATGTCGCAGCATTGTAATAGACTACTCTGAATTAAAATGATATTGCTGAAGGCCACGCTAAAAACAGGACAGAAGAATATATAATATCAATATTCATACTGATACATTTTTAAGACAGATTCTTAAATTCGACTTCATTAAAAAGCATGACAGGCATACAATTGTTACTACAAATTGAAGGTTTCTGGTAACCCTGCATCAAGCAAGTCTATCAGTGCCATTTCCAACAGCATTTGCTCATTCTGTGTCTGTGTCACATTTTGGTAATTTATGCAGTAATTCAAATTTTTAACTATTATACTTGTTATGGTGATCTGTAATCAGTGATCTTTGATATTATTATTGTAATTGTTTTGTGGCGCCACAAAGCCATCCATATAAGATGGCAAACTTAATCCATACGTGTTGTGTGTGTTCTGACTGCTCCACTAACCAACCATTCCCCCATCTCCCTCCCTCCAGACCTCCCTGTTCCCTGAGACACACAGTATTGAAAGTAGGCCAATTTCGTGTTCAAGTGAAAGGAAGAGTACGGGTCTCTCATTTAAAGCAAAAGCTAGAAATGATTAAGCTTAGCGAGGAAGGCACGTCAAAACCCAAGATAGGCCCAAAGCTAGGCCTCTTTCACCAGGCAGTTAGCCAAGTTGTGAATGCAAAGGAAAAATTCTTGAAGAAAATAGGAAGTGCTACTCCAGTGAACACATGAAGGATAAGAAAGCAGAACAGCCTTATTGCTGATATGGAGAAGTTCTGGATAGAAGATCAAAACAGCCACAGACTCTCTTAAGCCAAAGCCTATTCCAGAGCAGGGCCCTAACTCTCTTCACTGCTATGAAGGCTGACAGAGGTGAGGAAGCTGCAGAAGAAATGTTTGAAGCCAGCAGAGGTTGGTTCATGAGATTTAAGGAAAGAAGCCGTCTCCATAACATCAAAGAGCAAAGTGAAGCAGCAAGTGCTGACGTAGAAGCTGCAGCAAGTTATCTAGAAGATCTAGCTAAGATAATTTAAAAAGGGGGCTACACTCAACAACAGACTTTCAACGTATGAAACAGCCTTCTATTGGAAGAAGACACCATCTAGGGCTTTCACAGCTAAGGAGAAATGAATGCCTGGCTTCAAAGCTTCACAGGACAAGCTGACTCTCTTGTTAAGGGCTATTGTACTTGGCTTTAAGTTGCTCATTTAGCAATATGCTGATTTACCATTCTGAAAATCTGAGGACCCTGAAAGATGATGCTCAATCTACTCTGCCTATCTCTATCAATGGCACAACAAAGCCTATATGACAGCACAGCTGTTTACAACATTGTTTGCTGAATATTTTAAAACCACTGTTGAGACCTACTGCTCAGAAAAAAGAGATTTCTTTCAAAATATGACTGCTCATTGGCAACACACCTGGTCAACCCAAGAGCTCTGATGGAGATGCACAAGATTAACGATGTTTTCATGCCTCCTAACACAACATCCATTCTGCAGCCGTGGAGCAAGGAGTAATTTTGACTTTCAAGTGTTATTATTTAAGAAATACACTTTGTAAGGCTATAGCTAGAAATTCCTCTACTGGATCTGGGCAAATTCAACTGAAAACCTTTTGGAAAGGATTCACCATTCTAGATGCCATGAAGAACATTCATGATTCATGGGAAGAGGTCAAAGTATCAACATGTACAGGAGTTTGGAAGAAGTTGATTCCAGCCCTCATGGATGACTTGAGGGGTTCAAGGCTCCAGTGGAGGAAGAAACAGCAGGTGTGGTGGAAATAGCAAGAGAACCAGAATTAGAAGTGGAGCCTGAAGATGTGACAGAATTGCTTCAATCTCATGATAAAACCTGAACAGATAAGGAGTTGCTTCCTACAGTTGAGCAAACAAAAGGGTTTCTTGAGATGGAATCTACTCCTGGTGAAGATGCTGTAAAGACTGTTGAAATGGTAACAAAGAATTGAGAACATCACATAAATTTAGTTGATAAAGCAATGGCAGAGTTTCAGAGAATTGACTCCAGTTTTGAAAGAAGTTTTACTGTGGGTAAAATGCTGTCAAACAGCCTTGCATGCTACAGAAAAACAGCTCCTAAAAGGAAGAGTCGATCGATGTGGCAAACTTGGTCGCTGTCTCATTTTGAGAAATTCCCACGGCCACCCCAGCCCTCAGCAGCCACCACCCTGATCAGTCGGCAGCATCAACATCGAGGCACAGCCCTCCAGCAGCAAAGAAATTATGACTCGCTGAAGGCTCAGATAATGATTAGCAATTTTTACCAATGAAGTATTTTTTAAATTAAGGTATGTACATTGTTTTTTAAGACATAATGCTATTGTACACTTAATAGACTACAGTATAGTGTAAACATAACTTTTCTATGCACTGGGAAACCAAAAATTCATGTGACTAGCTTTATCGCAATATTCTCTCTATTGTGGTATCTGGAACTGAACCTGCAACATCTCCAAGGTATGTCTGAACTTACTTCGAAGACAATCCTTCGGATGTTTTTCACATACAGTGTCACATAATCATCGATGTAGGTAGACAGGTTGCTGGACTGTATATCATACCAATTCAACACCAGCGCTGCTTCATTTTCATTATTTCCACTCCATGTGATGACGGAGGGATGAGATTTCAGTCTCCTGACCTAAAATTGAAGAAGACATAAAATAATTTTCAAATGCTCAACATAAGAGAGCTCAGAGCTGTAATTACTCATAAAGTTATAGCCACTGTCTTTCTGCACATGTATTTTTACGTGCCAGGAACTCATCAGAAAATGAGCAGTAATGTTACATGGGGGAAGACATTTTAAGAAAGCGCTGAGCTTCTTTTTATCTAGATTTTATAAACATTGAGAAAACAGGGTTCCTCTTCTCGCCATATAACTAAAGAAAATGTAATCCCTTTCATTAAAAGAGAAAAATAAATCAACCTCATCGTTATCTGACTTGCCACAAAAAGGTTCTAAGAAATACAAAAGGCAGGAGACGTTACATTACAGGGCTTAGCTTCTCAAGAGCAAGTTGGAGTTTTCTGTGAAGAAACAAATGAGGCAGAACAAACACTACTGCTGAGAGAGGGACTGAAGTTCCCACACAGTTTCCACCAAGATCAGAAAACCAGGACAGTTAGAGAGGGTTTTAAAAGCAAGTGAGTACCGGAGACACTCTGAAAGTTAAGGACAAATATATGGAATATTCTAAAGGAAAAAAGATTAGGACATCAAGAGGCTGTCCCCTGAAATAACTATCAGTGTCCTGTCTTAAGAAATCAACTGGACTTCCCTGGTGGCACAGTGGTTAAGAATCCGCCTGCCAATGCAGGGGACACGGGTTCAAGCCCTGGTCCGGGAAGATCCCACATGCTGCGGAGCAAATGGGCCCGTGCGACAAAATTACTGAGCCTGTGCTCTACAGCCCGCGAGCCACAACTACAAGTAAGTCACTGAATATATCTAAACATAGAAGAAGAAATCAGGGAATCTGAAAATCCTGCCTGCCTTAAGAGTTGAGGTCTGAGTGAATTGGGCTCACTGACAGCCCTACATAAAGGTGAAAGGATCCAGTTCTTCTGACACACTGGAAGATGTAGCCCAGCAGAAGAAGGCAATTAAACCTCTTTGCCAACAACAGAGTGAGTCAACAGTCAAGAGAAATTCTTTTCAAACATGTTTTAGCAACATAACCTCATTGGTATTTATAGCTTCTCTTGCACTGTAATGGATGATTACGTGATGGATCCCAGCTGATGTTCTCTCCGTGGTCTCCGTTCAATATGCTAAGTAACCCATACATGAAGTAGAGATGCAGTAAGAATATCTTAAAGAGATATATCTCATTAAAAAAATTAAAGTCTTGTGTTTTTTCTTAACCAGTCTTATAAGCAGTATTTCCTTATTTGCCTCTGTATATGCCCACGTAAGTGAGGGCTGTGACCGACTGTGACAGGCATGTTTATGGTACTGATGAAAGCACAAATACAGATACTGAAGAGACAAAAAGCTTCAGTGACTCTGTGCTACACACACCCTTCGAATTGACCTAGAATTTTCTGGTGAGCTTTACTTTAAAATTTTAATAAACTCTGCATTAAAAAGTTCTCCTCTTTAAAATATATAAAAGAACTGAAAACACATAGATATCATACTTTACTTGTGTGAAAGAAAATTAAACATAAAACTGACATGTTTACAACCTACATAACTATAATTAATATTTTAAAAGTTATTCATTCGTCCATCCATCTATACGTCTGATGAATAATACAGCCAGATCATGGGGACATACAGGGAGGAACATGCCCTAGGCCTCAGGGATATTATAATTTTGATGCAGTGACAAAATATTGAAAACGTAATTTCAAGTGTGATGTATGTCACAAAGGGAAAATGACCTAATCTAGACTTGCAGACATAGAAAGCTTTTTCCCAGAGGGTCATGCCCAAGGTGAGACGGGCCAGAAAAACATGAGCGAGGTGGTCCACAGGAGAGGGTAATAGAGAAGGCACTCCGGGGCACAGAGAGTATGGGGAAAATGGCGCTTGATGAGGCTGGAGAGGGAGGCTGAGACAGGATAGTGCATGGTGAGGGCCTTTAATTTTATCTGGAGGGCTCTGAGCAAGGGATGATTCAATGTTCATTTTCTAAACTTCAGAAAACTACAGAAAACAAATTATGACATGGTGAACTATTATAAGGCAATCACACTTATAACACACAATCCAGCCAAAGAAAGAAAACTTTACCAAGCACCCCAGAAGCCCTCATGTACCCCTTCCTAATCGTAGCCCCTCCTTCCTTCCAAAAGTAACCACTATCTTGAATGTTACAATAATCTTTTTTTTTCATTTCTTTTGGGTTTTCACACAAAAGTACATTCACAGACACTCCAATTACGAACTCGTGGATTTTAACATACTTGATGGATTTCGATCCACTGACATTCTTATCCTTATTGAATTTCAAGTTGTCCCACTTTTGGTTGGTCAGAGTCTCATCAAAGTTCTTTTAACATATCTTTGATAGCTTCCTTGTTATTGGTATGCCAAAATATTTCAGGATCATCTAGTATATTTCCTGTCCCAGACTTGGTATCAGCCATTTCTCTAAGAACCCTTCTCTTAGTGGGATTATTTCAATATAAGAATGCTCAATATGACTAGGTTGTTCACTGTTTCTAGGTCTTTTCAGCAGACAGAGCTAGGATATAATCACTTCTTTGCATTCATAGATCTATAAATATAAAAGTGTTTATATGTGGAATGTAAAAGAAATCAAGGAGTCAAGAATCACTTAAAATTTTTGACCTGAGAAATTCAAAGACTGGCATCGCCATTTATTGAGGTGGGGAAAACTGCAAGAAAAGCAAGTCTGGGGAAGTAATATAAGTTTGGTTTGGACATGTTACATTTGAGATTCCTATTAGACCTCCAAGTAGAGGCACCAAGTAGGCAGCTGGATAATAAGAACGAGGAATTCAGCAGGTAAGTCAGGGCCAGGAATAAATCTGACAGTCATCAGCCAATAGGAAGAGTTAAAGTCATGAGACTGGGTGGAATCGCCTAGGTAGTCAATTACCTGACTGATTTTTTTTCATGGGATTTAGTAAAGAGAACAACAAAAAGAAACAAGGAGAAGAAACTAAACACAACACTGTAAATCAACTATATTTCAATAAAATTTTTTTAAAAAAGAAGAAACAAGGAGAGGTTTAACAAAAGGCAGAACTAAAACTTAAGCCTTTACTTCTACTTGAAATGGTAATAACATACCTGGTAAGCAACTTCTGCTCTCACTGAATCCATGAAATCCTGATCAGTTGGGTAAAGCGCACAGGCAAACATAAAATCCTGCCATACCTATCAAATCAAATAAAAGGCAATATAGCACTTCCATAGATTTTACTGCACAGAAAGAAATTCTTCATTCTGAACTTTGGGCATTATCTTTCATGCAAATGAAAAATCAACTTAGCCCGATGAGTGTGATCATTTGAGCATCACAAAGCATGAGGTACTGGGAAAGGCACTCACAGACTCTCTGGAACTATAGGGAAACCTGAGAAGAGAAAATGTTAGGTAGGCAGAAAAGAAAAAGAAGAAAACGGAATTCAAATAATGAAACAGTGCTCGTGCTGAGGGGAATATGAAATTCAGTAAGAAGCTTTCTCCCAACCCCTCCTCACTCCTGATTCACTCTGATTTTCACCAGGAATTTGGTACTGAGTGATGGTCCAGACTGTTAAGAAACATATTTTGTTTATAAAGGAATTAACTTCATGGCCAAAAGGATTACGACATGGACAGTTTAGAAATGAAACCACTTAAGTGCATTGCTAGGGAGGCCATTACGACGCAGTAGTTGGCCTGACTCAGAACTTCAGTTCCACCATATACCCACTGTGTGAGTTTGGGCTAGTTAACTTCTCCACGTGTCAGTTTTCCTACCTGTAAAATGGGGATAGAGAACAACAGTAACTACCTCATAGAGTGGGCATGAAGCTAAAATAAAATAATAGCTGCAGAGCACTGAGAACAACGCCTGGAATATTACAGAATATTGTCACATCATCATGACCATGAGCATTGTCAATATTATTAAAATTACTACTCTGCTATGAAGTGCTTTATATTTTAGAACTGTAATACTAGAACTAAAAGACTATATTTCCTTTGCTTAACCCTCACCAATGCAAACTATGTTCAGAGTACTTAATGACAATATTAAGTACAGCTATTAAAATTTAATTTTATCATTTTTCTTCTCTCTAGGTCTTGTTAGATCTCCTTAAAGTTAAAACTTTTTAATATTTTATTTTATGTTTTATGCTTACCCTCCTATCACAAAGATAATTACAAAGAAAATATAGATGTATGCTTAGATATAACCAATATGCAGAATGTCTATCATTTAAAATAATTATGATATTCACTATCAACTATAGCTCAGGGTTTGCGAGATGCCATTTATTCCTTTGCAGAAAAGTGGAACATCATTCCTGGCTCTGAGAAAAGAAGGAATGGGCTATGATATCACTTATACGTGGGATCTAAAATATGACACAAATGAATTTATTTATGAGACAGAAACACAGACATAGAAAACAAACTTATGATTATCAAAGGGGAAGGAGCTGGGAAAGGATAAATTAGGAGTTTGGGATTAGCAGATACAAACTACTATATATAAAATAGATAAACAACAAGGTCCTACTGTATAGCATAGGGAACTATATTCAATATCCTGTAATAAACCATAAAGGAAAAGAATATGCATATATATGTATAACTCAATCACTTCACTGTACACCTGAAACTAGCATAACATTGTAAATCAACTACACTTCAATAAAAAAAAAACACAAAGGAATAGGCAATATCACCCACTCAGAACACTGGAGGTCAAACTGAGGATACAGTAACAAATCAACAAAGAAAATAATGAGCTGTCAATTACTCACCATTATTCCTAGTTCATCACAGAGTTCATAGAATTCATCCTGCTCATAAATTCCTCCTCCCCAAACCCGGACAGCATTCATGTTAGCATCCACAACAGACTGCAAAAGGAGCCGTAATCTACAGAAGAAGTTTTAAAAACAAATGCCAATTTGAAACCTTGGGGATGTTAAAAGAAAAAAATAAATAAATAAAACCACATTGTGGTTGATAAACACATTTCAAATAGCTGTTAGAAGGACACATTTTTAAATTATGATGGTTTGGATACAACGCTAAGTGAAGAAAGTGAGACAAAATTATATACACATTAACTGTAACCACATTAAATAAACAAACCTACAGAAAAATTACGGGTGAAATCTTTTCTCTGCCTTCCAAATTTCAATCATGCTATTACACTATTTTTAAAACTAAATTTGTGTTTGTTTTCTTTTTGTTTTTTCTATATGTATTTTTTAAATATCTTTATTGGAATATAAATGCTTCACAATGTTGTGTTAGTTTCTGTTGTACAACAAAGTGAATCAGCTATAAGTATACATATATCCCCAGATCCCCTCCCTCTTGAGCCTCCCTCCCACCCTCCCTATCCCACCCCTCTAGGTCAACACAAAGCATTGAGCTGATTTCCCGGTGCTATGCAGCTGCTTCCCACTAGCTATTTTACATTTGGTAGTGTATATATGTCAATGCTACTCTCCCACTTCATCCCAGCTTGCCCTTCACCCCCTGTGTCCTCAAGTCAGTTCTCTACGTCTGCATCTTTATTCCTGCCCTGCCACTAGGTTCATCAATACCGTTTCTTTAGATTCCATATATGTGCATTAGCATACAGTATTTGTTTTTCTCTTTCTGAATTACTTCACTCTGTATGACAGACTCTAGGTCCATCCACCTCATTACAAATAACTCAATTTCGTTCCTTTTTATGGCTGAGTAATATTCCATTGTATATATGTACCACATCTTCTTCATCCATTCATCTGTCGGTGGACACTTAGGTTGCTTCCATGTCCTGGCTATTGTAAACAGAGCTGCAATGGATATTGTGGTACGTGACTCTTTTTGAATTATGGTTTTCTCAGGGTATGTGCCCAGTAGTGGGATTGCTGGGTCATATGGTAGTTCTATTTGTAGTTTTTTAAGGAACCTCCATACTGTTCTCCATAGTGGCTGTAACAATTTACATTCCCACCAACAGTGCAAGAGGGTTCCCTTTTCTCCACCATCTCCAGCATTTATTGTTTGTAGATTTTTTGATGATGGCCATTCTGACTGGTGTGAGGTGATACCTTATTGTAGTTTTGATTTGCATTTCTCTAATGATCAGGAATGTTGAGCATCCTTCCATATGTTTGTTGGCAATCTGTATGTCTTCTTTGGAGAAATGTCTATTTAGGTCTTCTGCCCATTTTTGGATTGGGTTGTTTGCTTTTTTGATATTGAGCTGCATGAGCTGCTTGTAAATTTTGGGGATTAATCCTTGTCAGTTGCTTCATTTGCAAATATTTTCTCCCATTCTGAGGGTTGTCTTTTCGTGTTGTTCATGGTCTCCTTTGTTGTGCAAAAGCTTTTAAGTTTCATTAGGTCCCATTTGTTTATTTTTGTTTTTATTTCCATTTCTCTAGGAGGTGGGTCAACAAGGATCTTGCTGTGATTTATGTCATAGAGTGTTCTGCCTATGTTTTCCTCTAAGAGTTTTACAGTGTCTGGCTTACGTTTAGGTCTTTAATCCGTTTTGAGTTTATTTTTGTGTATGGTGTTAGGAAGTGTTCTAATTTCATTTTTTACATGTCCAGTTTTCCCAGCATCATTTATTGAAGAGACTGTCTTTTCTCCATTGTATATTCTTGCCTCCTTTGTCAAAGATAGGGTGACCATATGTGCGTGGGTTTATCTCTGGTCTTTCTATCCATTTCCATTGATCTATATTTCTGTTTTTGTGCCAGTACCATACTGTCTTGATTACTGTAGCTTTGTAGTATAGTCTGAAGTCAGGGAGCCTGATTCCTCCAGCTCCGTTTTTCTTTCTCAAGATTGCTTTGGCTATTCGGGGTCTTATGTGTTTCCATACAAACTGTAAAATTTTTTGTCCTAGTTCTGTGAAAAATACCATTGGTAATTTGATAGGGATTGCACTGAATAGAACTACCATATGACCCAGCAATCCCACTACTGGGCATATATCCTGAGAAAATCATAATTCAAAAAGATACATGTACCACAATGTTCATTGCAGCACTATTTACAATTGCCAGGACATGGAAGCAACCTAAATGCCCATAACAGATGAATGGATAAAGAAGATGTGGCACATATGTACAATGGAATGTTATTTTCTGCATCTATTGAGATGATCATATAGTTTTTATCCTTCAGTTTGTTAATATGGTGTATCACATTGACTGATTTGCATATGTTGAAGAATCCTTGCATTCCTGGGATAAACCCCACTTGATCATGGTGTATCATCCTTTTAATGGGTTGTTGGGTTCTGTTTGCTAGTATTTTGTCGAGGATTTTTGCATCTATGTTCATCAGTGATACTGGCCTGTAATTTTCTTTCCTTGCGACATCTTTGTCTGGTTTTGGTATCAGGGTGATGTTGGCCTCATAGAATGAGTTTGGGAGTGTTCCTCCCTCTGCTATATTTTGGAAGAGTTTGAGGATAGGTGTTAGCTCTTCTCTAAATGTTTGACAGAATTTGCCTGTGAAGCCATCTAGCCCTGGGCTTTTATTTGTTGGAATATTGTTAATCACAGTTTCAATTTCATTACTTGTGATTGGTCTGTTCATGTTTTCTATTTCTTCCTGTTTCAGTCTTCGAAGGTTGTCCTTTTCTAAGAATTTGTCCATTTAATCCAGGTTGTCCATTTTATTGGCATAGAGTTGGTTGTAGTAGTCTATGACACTTTGTATTTTGGCAGTGTCAGTTGTTACTTCTCCTTTTTCATTTCTAACTCTGTTGGTTTGAGCCTTCTCCCTTTTTTTCCTGATGAGTCTGGCTAATGGTTTATCAATTTTTATCTTCTCAAAGAACCAGCTTTTAGTTTTATTGATATTTGTTATTGTTTCCTTCATTTCTTTTTCCTTTATTTCTGATCTGATCTTTATGATTTCTTTCCTTCTGCTAACTTTGGGGTTTTTTTGTTTTTCTCTAATTGCTTTAGGTATAAGGTTGGTTGTTTATTTGAGATTTTTCTTATTTCTTGAGGTAGGACTGTATTGCTATAAACTTCCCTCTTAGAACTTCTTTTGATGCATCCCATAGGTTTTGGGTCATCGTGTTTTCATTATTATTTGTTTCTAGGTACTTTTGATTTCCTCTTTGATTTCTTTAGTGATCTCTTGGTTATTTAGTAGCGTATTGTTTAGCCTCCATGCGTTTGTATTTTTTATAGTTCTTTTCCTGTCATTGATATCTAGTCTTATAATGTTGTGGTCAGAAAAGATTCTTGATATGATTTCAATTTTCTTAAATTTACTGAGGCTTGATTTGTGACCCAAAATGTGATCTATCCTGCAGAATGTTCCGTGTGCAGTTGAGAAGAAAGTGTATTCTGTTGTTTTTGGATGGAATGTCCTATAAATAGCAATTAAGTCCATCTGATCTAATGTGTTATTTAAAGCTTATGTTTCCTTGTTTATTTTCATTTTGGATGATCTGTCCATTGGTGTAAGTGGGGTGTTAAAGTCACCCTACTATTACTGTGTTATTGTTGATTTCCCCTTTTATGGCTGTTAGCATTTGCCTTATGTATTGAGGTGCTCCTATGCTGGATGCATAGATATTTACAATTGTTATACCTTCTTCTTGGATTGATCCCTTGATCATATAGTGTCCTTCGTCTCTTATAGTAGTTTTTATTTTAAAGTCTATTTTGTCTGATATGAGTATTGCTACTCCAGCTTTCTTTTTATTCCTATTTGCATGTAATGTCTTTTTCCATCCCCTCACTTTCAGTCTGTATGTGTCCCTAGGTCTGAAGTTGGTCTCTAGTAGACAGCATATATACGGATCTTGTTTTCGTATCCATTCAGCCAGTCTGTGTCTTTTCGTTGGGGCATTTAATCCATTTACATTTAAGGTAATTATTGATATGCATATCCCTATTACCATTTTCGTAATTGTTTTGGGTTTGTTTTTGTAGGTCTTTTCCTTCTCTTGTGTTTCCTGCCTAGAGAAGTTCCTTTAGCATTTGTTGTAAAGCTGGTTGGTGATGCTGAATTCTCTTAACTTTTGCTTGTCTGTAAAGCTTTGATTTCTATGTCAAATCTGAATGAGATCCTTGCTGGGTAGAGTAATCTTGGTTGTAGGTTTTTCCCTTTCATCACTTTAAATATATCTTGCCACTCCCTTCTGGCCTGTAGAGTTTCTGCTGAAAGATCAGCTGTTAACCTTATGGGGATTCCCTTGTATATTATTTGTTGCTTTTCCCTTGCTGATTTTAATATATTTTGTGTTTAATTTTTGTTTCATTCATATGTGTCTCAGCGTGTTTCTCCTTGGGTTTATCCTGTACGCGACTCTCTGCATTTCCTGGACTTGACTATTTCCTTTCCCATGTTGGGGAAGTTTTTAACTATAATTTCTTCAAATATTTTCTCAGACCCTTTCTTTTTTTCTTCTTCTTCTGGGACACCTTTAATTCGAATGTTGGTGCGTTTAATGTTGTCCCAGAGGTCTCTGACACTGTCCTCCATTCCTTTCATTCTTTTTTCTTTATTCTGCTCTGTGGCAGTTATTTCCACCATTCTATCTTCCAGCTCACTTATCCGTTCTTCTGCCTCAGTTATTCTGCTATTGATTCCTTCTAGAGTTTTTTTTGTTTTTTTTTTTTGCAGTATGTGGGCCTCTCACTGTTGTGGCCTCTCCTGTTGCGGAGCACAGGCTCCGAAAATGCAGGCTCAACGGCCATGGCTCACGGGCCTAGCCGCTCCACGGCATGTGGACACGAACCTATGTCCCCTGCATTGGCAGGCAGACTCTCAACCACTGCACCACCAGGGAAGCCCTAGAGTATTTTTAATTTCAGTTATTGTGCTGTTCATTACTGTTTGTTTGCTCTTTAGATCTTCTAGGTCCTTGTTAAATATTTCTTGTATTTTGTCTATTATATTTCCAAGATTTTGAATCATCTTTACTATCATTACTCTGAATTCTTTTTCAGGTACTTTGCCTATTTCCTCTTCATTTATTTGGTCTTGTGGGTTTTTATCTTGCTCCTTTGCCTGTAAGATATTTCTCTGTCTTCTCATTTTGTGTAATTTACAGTATTTGATGTCTACTTTCCCTCGGCTGCAGGGTCGTAGTTCCTCTTGCTTCTGTTCTCTGCCCGGTGGTGGGGCTGGTCCAGTGTCTTGTGTAGGCTTCCTGATGGGAGGGACTGGTGCCTGTGTTCTGGTGGGTGAAGCTGAGTCTTTTCCCTCTGGTGAGTAGGGCCATGTCAGGTGGTATGCTTTGGGGTGTCTGTGAGCTTAGCATGGCTTTAGGTAGTCTGTGTGCTGATGGGTGCATTTGTGTTCCTGTCTTGTTTGTTGTTTGGTGTGAGATGTCCAGCACTGGGAGCTGCTGGCAGTTGGGTGAAGCCGGGTCTTGGATTCAGATAGAGGCCTCCGTGAGAGCTCTCAGAGATTAATCTTCCCTGGGGCTGGGAATTCTCTACTGGTCCAGCATCCTAGACTCAGTGTTCCCACTCCAGAACCTCAGGCCCGACTTCTGGTCGAGGGACCAACACCCTGCAAGTCGCTTGTCTCGGCAATAAAGGGGTTTAAAAAAAAAAAAAGAAAAAAAAGTCTAACAAAACCCCAGACAAATGGTAAAAATTTAAATCAAACAAATAGAAACAGAAACAAGGAAATGCTCACACACAAAAGAAACAAAAACAGAACCAAGTAAAGCAAATAGCAAGAGAACAACCAGACAAACAAAAGAACCCAAGAACAAAATCGAGCAATTGAGAAGAAAGCCGACAAAAACCCAAAACCAAAAAACAAAACCACAGCAGAGTGCCAACCGAAGAATGAAGCAAGGAAACAAAACAAACTGAAAAAAATGACATTTTAAAGAAGAAAAAGAAGAGAAAGAGAAAGGGGAAAGAAGACAGAACAGAAAAGCAACATAGAAACAGAAATCTAAAAAAGTAATAATAAAGTAGAAAATATATTAAAGAAAAAAAAAAGACAAACAAAACCCCAGAGAAACGTTAAAAACAAAACCAAACAAACAGAAACAAGGAAATACACACACACGTAAAAGAAACAAAAACAGAGGCAAATAAAACAAAAAGCAAGAGAACAACCAGACAAATAGAACTCAAAAATGAAATCAATTAGGATTAATACTAACAGAAACACATAACCTAAAAACAAAACCAAAGCAGGGTGCCCACTGAAGAATAAAGCAAGGAAATAGAACAAACTGATAAAAATGATTTAAAAATAATAATAATAAAATAAAAAGGGAAAAAACACAGAACAGAAAAGCAAAACAGAAATGGAAATATTTTTAAAAAACTGAAGAAAAAGAGGAAGAAAAAAATTAGGGAAAAGAACACAGAACAACAGAAAAGCAAAGTAAAAATAGAAATGTATAAAAAAAATATGTTATAAAACACAAAGATACCAAAAGACTAAATAAAAAAAAAAAACTAAAAGAACAAACACAAAAAGAAAGAAAAAGAAACCAAAGGAAAAAAAAAAGAAGTCAGAACCAACAACAGAATGAATCAAAACATAATAAAATTAATAGTAATAATTATGTTTCCCTGTGGTATCTGCTGTGAAGGTCCTTGCACACGCAGAGAGCCATAGTCCCCCTCCGCCTCCCCAGGAGCCCCTCCTCTGCCTCTGGGCTGGTCTCCAGACCTGCTGTGGGCCCTGTGGGGACCCCTCTGACTCTGATGTGGTCCACTTCCTGCGTGTGCTGCCCCCAAAGTCCACAGCTGCCAGAGCTGGACCGTTTTCATTTGTGGGAACACTCATTGTCTACTCAGATGTTCCATAGACACAGGGTCTTCCTAGCTGACCATGGGGATTTAATCTGCAGCTTGTACAGCCGATGGGAAGATTTTCCATCCTCTTAATTAGTCACCCCGTCCCTGGGGTTCAGCTTTGGTTTTATCCCCACCTCTGCGTGTGGTCCGCCCGCAGGTCCGGTCCTGAGGCTGCCTTGGAGCTCTTGGGTCTGGCCCTGTGAGGACCGGGTGCAGAGGTGGTATGACTGCTTGGATCACGGGAGCCCCAGCGGCACCAAATGCACAGGGGAGCCGGCAGCCATGGGTGCAAGAGATATGGCCCTAGTGAGGGCCTTTTCCAGCACCCAGCATAAGGCATGTGAGGGCCAGCCCTGGCTGGGGTTTTTCTGGCACCCAGCCTAAGGCATGTAAGGGCCAGCCCTGAGAGGGTGGTTGTTTATTTTTTTAATTGCCCTGCAGCCAGCACGTGAGGGCCAGCTCTGAGGGGGCTTTTTTATGTCTCAGCAGCCAGCACACAAGAGCCAGCCCTGAGAGCAGGCTTCTTTTATTGTCGTCGGCAGGCGGCGACATGTGGGGAGAGAGAGGTTACAATAGTGGCTCCTCCCCCTGCGTGGGACTCAGCAGTAGTGCCCTGCTTCCATGGCTGTCCAGTCTTCCTCCATAGGCATTCCCTGCTGCGGATTTCTTCCCTCCTGTCCCCTCAGCCCGTCTCCCCACAACCAACAGCAGTTCTCCAATCCCCACACACCAGCTCCCAGCCCCCTTGCACACCTGTGAACACACATCCCCACTGTGGGCCACATAGGGCCGTGGTACGGACCGTCTGTGTAGTTCTCACTCTGTTCCTCCTGCCACAGATCAGCAGCTTCAAGCTCTTCCGACAGCGTCAAATGCTTCCATTCTGTCCCAGTGGATTTCCCCATCGGAGAGAGAGGGGGTTTCCCCGCATTCGGGAATCTCTCCTCTGCTTCAGCTCCCCCTCCCCGGGGGTGCAGGTCCCATTCCGCTTCCTCTCCTCCTCTTTCTCCCTTCCTTTTTTCCATCCTGCCCAGTTATGCAGGGATCTTTATAGTCCTTTACATTGTCCAAGGTCTTCTGCTAGTTTTCAACTGGCATTCAGTGAGAATTGTTGCATCTATAGATATATTCCTGAGGCATCCATGGAGAGAGATGAACTCCACGTCTACCTACTCCTCCGCCATCTTGAACCCTCCTAAATTTTTGTCTTAAAGTTACTCCTGTAGAAAAATACTGTAAACCTTGGAAAGTATGTGCTTATTTTATATAACCATTTCAAACTATACGATAAAAATGAAATTCTGAATATTAGTATTTAGCTCTCTCTCATCCCTTTTTACAATTCCTCCAGTCCAGTACTCCTTTATCTAGTAAACTTCCTTTCTACTTTTCCAATTTCTATTCACATCACCCTCAGATAAGTACAGAAATTTGCAGCCACGTTGACAGTATGTACCCTCCATTTCCAGAACAGCATTCAGAAAGGAAGGAAAAAGGCCAATAACAGGATGACCACGCACTCAGAGCACTGTGCTCCCAGCAAAGCCACCTATGGGCAGATTTACTAATTGACCCAACTGTGCTGTACAGCCACTGCCAAACTGCCAGGAGTGGAAAGGAGCATTTGAAAAGGAGAAGAGTCAGCAAATTATCTGTGTTGTGTCTGGAGAATGATTGCATTTTCATATGAAATTCAAAACATTATACACATTTTGAAGTAAAAGGATATTACTACGACTTTTGGCAAAATTAGAGTTTACTTACCAGCCACATCTACATTCTAAACATAAAATATACGTCAATGCATGTTTGTATATTTAAATAAGTTAAATGTGTTTATTTTCACTTCACAAAGCTTATTTTCACTGTTACAAAGATAGTAGTTTATAAACCTAATCAGGAAATACTTTCTTGTTAAATTCTATTCTCAAAGCTTCAGAAAAACACTTTGAATTTTTAAATTTCTTTCGTTCTCTTTATTAAGGTAAAATTGAAAGAATGTGCAAATACCTTAGCATGAAAAGGTAAATATGGGTTCCTATTTTTTTTAAGTGTGCAAAAAGAAAGGCATTCTTAAAAAAAAAAAAAAGAAAAAATCCAAATTTAATCATATTTTTCCCCCAAAGGGGCTAACTATCCAAAATGTGCATTAGTCATTTTCTTGTTCCTCTAGAAACAATTTATAAAAGTTGGATGATTTCAGCAGTCTCAAATAGTTTAGCTGTAAGACTACCTATAGCTCATGAGAATGAAATAAATGATTTTAAAATCCTTTCCAAAATTTCCATCATCCTAGAATTATATATTACCTCTTGGTTCCTTCCACTGGAACTAAAAAAAGTTAAAATGAGTAGCTCTTAAGCTCTGTGGGACTGATAATATGAAGAGGAACAAGAAATAAAAGATGATAACTTACAAGGCAGAGGTTACTCGATCCTGGAATGAATCTGGGGGAATCCAATTTGAGCCTTTCAGAAATATTGGAAGTCCATTAATTTTGAAGTAGAAACTCAGACCACGAGATCCTTTTATGGGCTCTTCTATGAGTTCCACTGTCCTAAAATAAACCTATTATTAACAGAATTAAATAATGAATATGAAATTTAAAACATAAGCATATGACAAAACCCAACTGTATTGTTTACTATAGCCTTAAAAAAATAAGCCAAAGAGATTTTTTTTTTTTTTTTGCAGTACGCGGGCCTCTCACTGTTGTGGCCTCTCCCTCTGCGGAGCACAGGCTCCAGACGCGCAGGCTCAGTGGCCATGGCTCACGGGCCCAGCAGCTCCGCGGCATGTGGGATCCTCCCAGACCGGGGCATGAACCCGTGTCCCCTGCATCGGCAGGCAGACCCTCAACCACTGCGCCACCAGGGAAGCCCCCAAAAGAGATTTTTTTTAAAGTAAACTTCTGAGCAGTTTACAGGAACATAAATTAGTGTTAATTTTCTATCTGCTATGAAGTACTTAATATGGAAGTGCACATTTTAGAAAAAATATATATAAAGAAATTATTGCCAGGTCCTGTTATTTCTCTTTGAAAAGAAGAATACAGAAACCATTAAAGAGTGAAATATACTGTAGCCTTCCCCATGATGTAGGCATTTGCAATTATGTCAAAAGAAATATATTTGAGATAACACTTCAAAATTACAGCAAAAACTGATACTATTTCACAAAAGTGGGGAAAATATGTCACCAGTTAATCTGATGCATCTTTGAAAAACACATTCTCATTTCAGTGTTATTAAAATGTGCCAAAACATGCATCTTAGAATCAAAGAAATACAGTACAAGGTATTTCATAATCTAACAACTTTCCAATTTTAATAGCACATAATTATAAAGTCATTTTGCTTAATGGGCAATTTAATCCTAACTAATTATCACATCAAACTCAATGTCTGAGACAGCACTGGTATGGAGACTGGAGATGTAAGTGGTGCTCCAACTGAAAGAAAAGATGGAAGCACACAGTCCAGTGTTATCCTTGCTACGTGAGAAGCTGAGACCTTTGTCCCTGTGACAGTCCAGCCAGGTTTCCCTACAGTTAAGAAGTGAGCAGCAAGACCCTAGATAAAAAAGATTCACATTCTTATCCAAATCTTCATTCTTCCCAGCCATAAACTGGATCAACTACTGAGAGACACAGTTCTACACCAACAAAGCCTCGTTTTGAAACCAAGATTATGCATTTCTTCTCTAGTTAAAAATTAATAAATCAACTTATTTCATGTAATAAAAGTGCCCACCATTCTTCCACTTTCTGACCCTTGCCCTAATTAATATGACATGACAAAAGATATCAGAGTTAACTTTATGAGAAGACACAGAACAAGGCCTGGATGAGGAGGATCTTGACATGGAATTACCACAACTGTTTTAGGATGCAAAAATGTAAAAAAATAATGGTTACTTTCAGAGGTAACTTTTAAAACATCTTGATGGTAGATTCAAACATCTAGAACAGCAATTCTTTAAATGCGGCCAGGATACCATATGAGATCCCTGGAAACCTTTCAAGGGGGTTCCTGAGTTCAAAATTACTTTCACAGTAAAGCTAAAACATCATTTGCCTTTTTCACTCTTACTCTCTTTTGAGTGTACCGTGGAATTTTCCAGAAGCTATGTGATGTGTAATGACATGGCCATTCTGACAGCTAATGGAATGTGTGCTTGTGTATTCTGGTGTGTGTTCTACTTCTCTAGCAGAGGTTGAGGGTATGAAGAGGTACATTTCCAGAGATTAACTCAATTTGTTCTCAGTACCACTGTGCTCTTACTAGCTGCCGCTGGTTATTCCTGCTATAATCTCTGTGGCCTCATTACTGTTCAATAAATTCATATTTTGAATCTCAAAGTTTTCCTTGCAACTTACACAGAAACACAAAAGGACTAGGTACCTTTTATTAACTTGTCTCATGTAATATTCTTAAGTTTTCAAATAAAAATGAATTTTAATTGAGACTCATTTAAACAATATTTTATCTCATTCTAAAAGAAAACTTACTTTTAATATACTTTTTCCTAATTTTTGTCTTAAATTGTTGTCTTAAAATGGGATTAGAAGACTAACATTCTCACCTACAACCACACTGTCTACATTTAAAAGTGCTGAAAAACATGAAACTGACAGAGAGTCTTCTGACTCAAGGAAGGGAGGAATCTACTCCAAAGAAACTGGATGAAATGATAAAAAAGAAATGAGATTGTGATGAAAGCCATATTGTCCTCCATTTTGTAGATGTTAATAATTTATCTTATTGTATCTTATGCAATGGAACATTTAAAAAATAATATTTATGGTGACAGTTATGTTGTAGTATCGTTTTGAGACCAATCATTCTAAATATAAAGAAAAAGGAACTGAATATTTTAAACTTAGATGGATAAACTCTTCAAAGGGCTAACATTCTTTATTACATTGTAATACACTGTTTTACATCATATTACAATGTTTTTCAAACTAGAAATGACAAAGCACTAGAATACCTCATAGGGTTGGTTTTCACACTGCATTTGCTGGAGAAGCACACATATTCGCTGAGAGAGTTTTACAGTGGGTAACACTGCTGGTGCCTTGGCAAAAATCAAGGCAGTGCCTCCAAACTGTGCTAGTAGGCATTGTATCCTTCACTTTCATGCATTATTGGGGGGGGGCAGTTTCACTTCAGGATGTCCTTGATAAAGCAATAAAAATTATTAATTATATTAAACCCCAACCTTGAGTACACATCACTGTACTAGACTGTATGATGAAATACGAACTATGAATAAAGCATCACGCACAATGGATGTCTTAAGGAAAAGTATCTGGGCCACAGTTTGAGTTGTAAGCTGAATAAGCCATCTGGTTTATAAAACCTGGTTTTTTTAACTTGAAAGAACTGCCAGACAAACTATGGTTATTCAGACTTGGCGACTTGGTAGACATTTTCTTGAAAATGACTGAAGTGAGTCTTGTCAGTTCAAGGCAAGTAACAGTTAAAAATGAGGATTCAGGAAAACTTGTACAACAACCATGAGCTTGAGAGCTTCCCAAAAGTCATCAATGGTAATGTTAACAAATCTGAATGTGATTCATATACTAAAATGGTTTAACATTTGAAAACATTTAAACATCTCCAGATGCCAACATTTTTCAAATAACCAATGCATTATATTACAATAACATATATGGATAAAAAATCCATTATGGGAAGCAAGAAGAACTACAATCCTGCAGCCTGTAAAACAAAAACCACATTCACAGAAAGACAAGATGAAAAGGCACAGGACTACATACCAGATAAAGGAACAAGATAAAACCCCAGAAAAACAACTAAATGAAGTGGAGATAGGCAACCTTCCAGAAAAAGAATTCAGAATAATGATAGTGAAGATGATCCAGGACCTCGGAAGAAGAATGGAGGCAAAGATCGAGAAGATGCAAGAAATGTTTAACAAAGACCTAGAAGAATTAAAGAACAAACAAACAGAGATGAACAATACAATAACTGAAATGAAAACTACACTAGAAGGAATCAATAGCAGAATAACAAGGCAGAAGAATGGATAAGTGACCTGGAAGAGAGAATGGTGGAATTCACTGCTGTGGAACAGAATAAAGAAAAAAGAATGAAAAGAAATGAAGACAGCCTAAGAGACCTCTGGGACAACATTAAACACAACAACATTCACATTATAGGGGTCCCAGAAGGAGAAGAGAGAGAGAAAGGACCCGAGAAAATATTTGAAGAGATTATAGTCGAAAACTTCCCTAACATGGGAAAGGAAATAGGTCCAGGAAGTGCAGCAAGTCCCATACAGGATAAACCCAAGGAGAAACATGCCAAGACACATAGTAATCAAATTGACAAAAATTAAAGACAAAGAAAAATTATTGAAAGCAATAAGGGAAAAACAACAAATAACATACAAGGGAACTCCCATAAGGTTAACAGCTGATTTCTCAGCAGAACCTCTACAAGCCAGAAGGGAGTGGCATGATAAACTTAAAGTGATGAAAGGGAAGAACCTACAACCAAGATTACTCTACCCGGCAAGGATCTCATTCAGATTCAATGGAGAAATCAAAAGCTTTACAGACAAGCAAAAGCTAAGAGAATTCAGCACCACCAAACCAGCTCTACAACAAATGCTAAAGGAAATTCTCTAAGTGGGAAACACCAGAGAAGAAAAGGATCTACAAAAACAAAAACAAAACAATTAAGAAAATGGTCATAGGAACATACATATCAATAATTACCTTAAATGTGAATGGATTAAATGTTCCAACCAAAAGACACATGCTTGCTGAATGGATACAAAAACAAGACCCATATATAGCTATCTACAAGAGACCCACTTCAGACCTAGGGACACATACAGACTTAAAGTGAGGGGATGGAAAAAGATATTCCAAGGAAATGGAAATCAAAAGAAAGGTGGAGTAGCAATACTCATATCAGATAAAATAGACTTTCAAATAAACAATGTTACAAGAGACAAGGAAGGGCACTACGTGATGATCAAGGGTTCAATCCAAGAAGAAGATATAACAATTATAAATATATATGCACCCAACATAGAAGCACCTCAATACATAAGGCAACTGCTAACAGCTATAAAAGAGGAAATCGACAGTAACACAATAATAGTGGGGGACTTCAACACCTCACTTACACCAATGGACAGATCATCCAAAATGAAAATAAATAAGGAAACAGAAGATTTAAATGACACAATAGACCAGATAGATTTAATTGATATTTATAGGACATTCCATCCCAAAACAGCAGATTACACTTTCTTCCCAAGTGCACAAGGAACATTCTCTAGGATAGATCACATCTTAGGTCACAAATCAAGCCTCAGTAAATTTAAGAAAATTGAAATCACATCAAGCATCTTTTCTGACCACAATGTTATGAGATTAGAAATGAATTACAGGGAAAAAAACGTAAAAAACACAAACACATGGAGGCTAAACAATACGTTACTGAATAACCAAGATATCACTGAAGAAATCAAAGAGGAAATCAAAAAATACCTAGAGACAAATGACAATGAAAACACGACAATCCAAA